TCGCCGTAGGAGCAGTGTCCCCGAAACCATTGCTGAAGAAGCGCTCGCCACCAACCCCCCCAAACCCAGCCCCCTGAGCCAGCAACAAACCGCCCCAGCTTTCCAGCCCAACCCGGCCCTAGCGGCCGCCGCCACACCCTCCAGCCAATCCCCACAGACAAAGCGCACATCCGCCCTCGTTGTAGAGCCTTCCCCTGCACTAAAGGCATCGGCTGCAGAAACTCCCAATGCTACCACTACGCCCTTGGCTGAACCCGATCTCCGGCACCGCCATGCGCGGAGCCCCACCTTCTCAGGCCGCATCTCCCCCAACCCGCCCGCCTCTGATGCCGGCGCCTCGTCCAACGCTGCGTCCCCTCCCACCGCCATGACAGCCGTGGGCATGATCATGAACAAGGATGCTGCCGGGCCCAAAGCCCCTCTTCGCAGCGCCCTCAACGAAGCTGCCCAGCTCGCACCATCCACTCGACCCCCCGCCTCAGGCACCAGCCTCCTGCGCGATGAACCCCTGCCTGATCCCTCCCCCGAGCCCCGTGCCGCTGTCTCACCCCCACCCACGCTCCCTGGTACCGTCGAACGTCGCCTCAGCCGGGTGGGGCCCGAGACCCCAGCCCCCAAGGACAGCCGCGCTAGCCCAGCCCCTCCCGGCTCTGGAGCTGGCCCCGACGACGATCGGGCCAGCGTCGGGTCCACCTTGTCCCGTCGCCCTAGCATGCTCCAGGAACAAATGACCCTCGAGCGAGGCTTGGAGCGCCAACGCGAACGCCGCCAATCCACCACCCTCAAGCGCCGAGAAAGCATGGTCAGCAATCAGAGCACCACCAGCACAGACAGCCGTACAAAGGGCCGCCGTGGCCATCGCCGCCGTGCCTCCCATCGCCGCCAGTCCGGCCAAAACTCAGAGATACCCTCTGCTCAACCACAGCACACCTCGGCCATTGCATGTGCGTCATTCCTCTCCACCAGTCTGCAGCGCCCCCTTGACCCTCGTAGGATATGTATGACCCGTGTGGGACATGCTTCTCATCTTGTCTGGGCGCCCTTTGCACATTATCTTGGCTCGTGACTTTTCATTCCAGCCCGTGCAAACATTGCCGGAAGCTTTTTTGGACGTCACAGCAGCGTATCTCCCTCCACTCGATCCGAAGCCTGGAAAGACGTACGTCTGCCATTCTGGACCTTGGACTTTGTCCCTGCTCTTGCGATGGCGTTACGCTCTCGAAACTCACGACCAGACTCACCACCAATCACGCATTGTTCCGCTCCCTCTCTCGTATCGCCTGGCTTTTGGCTCTGCCCGTAGGAGGAGGTGCAAGAAGTCAGGGATGAGTATTACGAAGAGGACGTCCTCTGCTGGCGTCTCTACGATTGCACCGACTCTTTCCGCGCCAAGCTTTTGGCCTTCATGACCCCCCGCCGTGTGCTCCAGTCTCGCGAGGAAACTCGCTGGGGCCGCTTTTGGGTCGCCATTCTAACCGTCGTTGTCTTGTACAACCTCCTGGCCATTCCCTTTCGCATCGGCTTTCGAGCGACGTGGTACCATCCCGACTGGAAAGCCTTCTTCTACACTTGCGATTACGTCGGCGACGCTATTTTGCTCTTTGACATATTCCTCAATTTTCGCACCGTTTTCATTTCCGATGGCCTTGAAGTCAAAGACCCAGCTGACATTGGTACGCCACCCCCCAATCGCCCTCGCTCCCCCATGGCGCCCTTAGCGCCCGACCCCCCTCGCACCTGGCTCTCATCGGCGGCATCGCGATACGTAGTGGTGCATTATGCACGCAACGGCTTCAAGTGGCATTTCGTAGCCTCGTTACCCATCGATCTCATATTCTGGTACAATCCTTGGGCCAAGGCCCTCTCCCGTCTCCCACGCCTCATCCGTCTTTCCTCGGTACGTGCCAGCAACTCCCCTTGCCAGCTTGGCCCAGGCACTGGTCCTTCATCTTGCCTGACTGATGCGACGCAATTTCGACTGACGTTGCCGCGTCCGGTATACAACAGACGCTGAATCAACTCGACGAGCTCTCCCGTAGCACAGAGCTTGGTAACATTATTCAAATCACAAAGGTTGGCCAACCACTTCATGCTTCCCAATTTCATCCGCTCCTCCTACTTTGACGCTACCGACCTTGATCAATCTCTCATATACGTCCAACTTGGTTGCTCTCTAGCTGTTCTCGTCGGTGATGATTCTGTGTCACTGGATGGCCTGTCTTTACTTTTTCGTCGCATACCATGATGGCTTTGCACCAATCTACGACCCGGAGAGCTTTACCCCTGCCGTGGGCGTGCGTCATTGGATCGTGTCCAGGCAATACCTCTACGGCCTTTCATGGAGCGTTGATGTCATTTCCGGTGCCTTTGTCATCAGTGCGTCCCTCGACTCTTTTTGCCGCGCTTACGCACAATAGAACCGCTTTTACTTGCTCCTGACAACTTTGCTCACGACGCCCCTCGCTCTTCCTTGCTTTCGCTGGCTCTCCCTCCCTCTTCCTCTGCGCATTGGATCCGCTTCACGCGAGCAGCTGCTCCGCCATTCTCCGACCTGCAACGTGGTTTCATGATCCTCTGCGACTTTGCCCACGTGTTGGTGATCGCCTTCTTCATCGGTAGCGTCGAGCAGCTTCTGCTCGAGTGGAATCGTGATGCTGAAGAGTTTCGCGCGCGCATGATGAAACTGAACCAGTTTATGGGCCGCCGGCATCTTCACAAGGAGTTGCAGCAGCGCATTCGCAACGTGCGTTGCCCCTCGTGGCTCGGGAGTGCCAAATCTGTTTGGCCTTGCTTCTGTCGTCCTTGCCTAATGCCTCAAATTGTGCTCATTTTGTCGTCGTTTCTGCATCGAATATGATAGTACTATTTCCATGCATGGTCTCGCCAAGGTGCTTTTGACAACCCTCAAATTCTCCGGTATGTGGACTGAGACCCAAGTCAGGATCTTTTGTGATTCCTTTTCCTCCTTTTCAAAAGCGACAACATCTTACCCAAGCATCAATCGCCGCCTGCAGAGACTTGCCCGTCAACCTTCGTACCGAGGTCAATGTGTGTACACATGGAAAGGTGTTGGCCAAGGTGCCCCTTTTCAAGTCACTGGACAAGTCTTTCTTGAACCAACTGACGGAGAAGATCAAGCTGCGCATTTATGCGCCAGGCGATCTCGTTGTGGCTGTTGGCGAGGAGGGTGATGAAATGTTCATTCTCAATCGCGTAAGCTTCTTGCCTTGCAGCCGCAGACCCATCTGCAACTGCGTATCACGCAAGGCCTAACCCCCCTCCCCTGGGCATTGATATCTCATAGGGCAACGTGGACATTGAAAATCGTGAGGGCAAGGTCCTTGTCACCCTGGGAGAGGGGTCAGTCATCGGCGAGGTATGGCTCCTGACAGCTCCCACCGAGCTGAAATGCTTTTGTATCTCTTGGCGATTGACTTTGAAGACGCAGCATGTAACATTGCTTTGCAATGTGCTTGCCTAGGTTGCCTTCTTCTCTCCCAATTCGAAGCGAACGGCTACCGTACGAGCCAAGACCTGGTGTGACTTTGCCTGCCTGGAAAAACAAGACTTTATGGCTGTGGCTTCGCGCTTCCCCGAAGAGGTTTGTATGCCCGCTACACAACTCGATGCCCACTCCAGGTCTTTTCGAGCCTCCTCCTGTGAATGATTCAGCTCACATTGGGGCATGTTGTGTCGACTCAGCGCATGGCGGTCGAGTCCTTGGCTCATGCTCGCCTGGCCAAGGATTTGCTCCGGAAGAAGATTAGCGACCATCCCTTGTTCAAGGGCTGCGAGGCTGATCTGATTGCAAAGGTGGCCGACCGTTTTGGATCTTACGAGTTTGTCGGCGGCGAAACCCTTTATGTACAAGGAGAGCCCGCCGATGCTTGGCTCTTTGTCGGCCTTGGCAAGGTTGTGGTTTCAGAGCAGGTCTTGGGTGTGACGAAGAAACACGACAAAACCGTTAAGACCGAGCTGGAGGCAGGTGAATTTCTCGACGTCATTGCCTTTATGCAGGAAGGCAAGCGCAAGGACATGTGCAAGGCCTTGGGCTCAGCTAGCATCTTAGCTTTGGACAAGACGGCGTTTGATCAGATTCTCCTCGAGCAACATGCCTTTGATATTGTCAACCAAAATTCCCAGGAGATTGCGCGTAAAGCCCGACTCGCGAGTGCAAAGCACAAATTCAAGCGCGCCATGGCTCGCCTTCGGACTTCCAACCTGCTGGGCAGCTCCGTCTCGAGGGTGCGCCCCCGCCTCACTGAGTGCTTTGTTTGTTTGCATGCGGGCTGAGGCTCACATCACAATCTTACGACTGCTGTCATTGTCATTATTGTGGTGCCAACTTACACAGGAGCCCAGCATTCGGGAAAGCGACTCAGACTCGGTGGCGGATATGCAGGCAGCTGGAGAGGTAAGTCGGGACATTGCTGTATCGACATGTTGCTGCGCGTAGCTGCGTCCTGATTCGATCTCACGACGCCCTTTAACTCTTTAGACTTTGAAGACTCTGTCGGATGAGGTGCTTGACAGCAAGCTCAAGGAAGCTCTCAAGCTCATCACCAACATTAGCTCAGTGCGTACGCAGCGCTTGTCGGCCAAGCCAGCGTAACGCGGCCGACAAGCAAATCTATGCTTGCCCCAAGCCTGGCAGCTCAAGTTGTAAATGGTGGGCTTGGTTCGCAAGCTGGTCGTGTCCGGGCTTGGTGCTCGGACGCTTTTTGATTCGACAAGAAGAGTAGTAAATGAGAAAGGTCTGACTGAAATGGGTCCTCCAAAAGCAAGTTGTTGTGCTGGACTCGAGTGGCTTATGCATTAATAATTCTAAAACTAATATTATTGTTGTGGAACAACTCCTGACAGACACAAAAGCCTGACCAGCACCAAAAGCATGCTTTGCAGCCACGTCTTGGCCGCGCATGTATGCGTCCAAAATCGCGTCCTTCCTTTGAATAATCCCAAGGTTTCAAAGGGTGAGGAGGTCTGGGGCACAGTGAAGGCTCAAGTGTCAATTCGATTTGCCTGGAATCAGACTGGGAGTGGTGCCTGTAAATCAGACTGGGAGTGGGAGCGGAACACAAGTATGCACGACTAGCTGAACCAGCCACCAGTAAAAGATTTGAGAACGCCACCGACAGTGCTGGTCACCGAGGCAGCCGTGGCCTTGGTCTCGAGACGATGGGCCAACGAGGGATATTGCCGGTAGTCAATGGCCAGATCAAAGACCAAGGGCTTGCATCGGATCGGCTAACGAGTCACGGGATGCAAAACGCGGTGAGCATTCGCCAGAACATGATCATGAGATAGCAACGAGAGCCCTGTGCTGGGCAAGGCAAACAAGCATGGGCATAAGCAGCTGGCGAACCTGCATTTGGGGTGGAAGAGCAACAAGAGGACGCTCCAATGCGGCCTCTGAGTCGTCAAAGACCTGCAAGTCATCGGCCAAAGCTGTGGTGGCCGCTGCACTTTTGGTAGCCGAGGCCTGGGCATCGGTAAGCGCCACGGTGGCCTTCATCGTGAGATGAACGGCACGGATGCTGCGCTTGACCATGGCCAGATCAGCTTGGACGCGCTGGTCTTCAGACAATGGCTCGTCTAGACGCTTGATGGCAGCGTGGGCCTGTGTACAACGCTCCTGTGTGCGATCGTACAGACGCAGGCTCTCCTTGAACTAAACAGGGTAAGAAGCGATGGTTCAAATGATGAGTGAAAGAGTGGATGGGCGAGGTTGCAAGGAAGGAGGTGCTGGGGAAACGCCGTAGGATGGCCCCGCTATGGTACCTTGTCGGTGCGGCGCAGAACCTCCGCCACGTAAAAGCAGCGCAGGGCACGAAAGTAGGCTTGGCGAGCGGCAATGGCATCCATGGCATCGGCATCATCCTGGATCAACTCAATGGTCTCGAGATCGGTGACAACTTGCAGCTGGTCGTCATAAAGGCGAATAAGTTCATCTGGCTTGCCCTCATCGGCACGCAGGCGGGCGGCACTGGCATCGACCATGACGTAGTTGCGTTCCATGGTTGTGCGCAGGCTGGTCAGAGAAAAGAGCAGAAGAACAGGGGACAGGGTGAGCAAAACAGGCAAACGGGCATCAACAAAAAGAGTCAATGTTGTTTGACGCGGCCAATGGGAGGGAAGCGCACCGTTCGGCGGCGAGGTAGGCTTTGAGAAATTGAAGGTGGGCTTGTTTTTCCAGAGAGGACTCGGAGGCATTGGAGCCGGCCTCGGCGCGTTCATCGGCCAAGGCCTTGGCGGTCACGCGCTCGGCTTCGGCATAGTCCATGAGGAGCTGATCAAAGGCGACCAAGTGTTCCTTAGTGTCGGCAAAATTGGCGGCTGTCATTTCATCACGGCGGCCCTGAATCTGGGCCAAGGTCTGGCGGATGGGCAGCGTGGGCACGGGAGCTGTGCGGCCGAGCCAGGTGACGTTGGCGAAGCTGTCCGCATCGCCTTCGTGCTCGACGACCAGGGCAGCCTCGAGACGTTCACCAAGCATGGCCATGACACCCGCATCGTCGGCGGCCAGCTGGGCTTTGAGGTCCTTGAGGGCCTTGGAGGCGTCGGCGCCGTGGCCCTGGGTCTGAGCAATGTTGTAGTGACAGTAGCGAAGGCTGGCGGTGATTTCGGTTACGCGCTGTTGGTAGATTTTTTGCAGTTCAGCGTCCGCGGCAATGGCGGGAGTAGCCGCAAGGCCCTGGTAGATCTGGGCACTCTGCGTCAGGAGCTCGGTGGCGCGCTCCCAGTTGCTGTTTTCAAAGGCAGCCACGCCGGCGATCCAGGTCAGATAAGCCTGCAGCTCTGTCTGCGTAGCTTCTTCCACGGTGGCAGTTTGTTCCTCGGCCGCTTGGGCTAGCAGGGCCTTGAGAGCTTCGGCGTGCTTGACGGCCTTGCCCAGGCGAGTGCGCTGTGGACAGCAAGGAGGGGTGAGCGGGCGAAGCGCCAGTTGTCTGCATGCTGTTGGTGTGGTTGTTGTTGTGTGTTGTGATGAGGGAAAAGGGCGATACGGAGACACGAACAGCGTGCATGCGTTTGCGTGGCGTGTCCTTGGCGTCTTGCTTGTCCTCAAGGGCGTAGGCCCAAGCCTGTGTCATCAAGTACATTGGGAAAAAAGATAGGGGAGGGGGGTCGTTGAGAAGGGCGCTGAGCGAAGCACGGGAGGAGCGCTCGGGACGCAAGAGAGGATTGAGCGTGCGGGGATAGACGTACGCGCTCAATTTCAAGCAGAAGGATCTCAAGGTGCGCTTCGCTGGTCAGGTTGGCGGCGGTGATGGGCGCCGGCTGGAAGGTGCGCTTGCCATGGGTCAGCTTGATCGTATGACGCAGGCGGTGGATGCGACGGGTGCAAAAGCGACTGAGGGAGGGAGCAAGGGAAGGGAAGGGAAGGGAAGGGAAGAGAAGGGAAGGGAAGGGAAGGGTTGAGATGAGGACGATGAGGCATCAAAGGTGAAGCTTGTAGTACCCAGCACAGACGAGACTCAAGACGCATGGCTTCATCCATCGCCAAGAACCAGAAGTATCACTGCCATTGAGGGCGGGGGAGAGGGAGAGAGGGGGGGGGAGAGGGGGAGAGGGGGAAGCGATGCGCAGCCATACGCACCGATAGCGCTGAAAGTCGTTGTGGCGCAGACCATGTTGACGTTGCAGACCGACCACCATGGGCAACACTGGGAGGGAGGTGGGGGCGATACCACGATCAGTCCACACACGCATGTCTGTTGTAGTACATCACAGCACAGCACATCACAGATCATCAAAGGGAAGCGCATGATGAAGACACGTACCGTTGCACTGCAGCACGACGGCGCTGCCGTTTTCCTCCGCCATCTTCGCTCTGTGTGTGTGTGTGTGAGTGAGTGCGCTGAGGTGAGTTTCACACAACAGTAGTTTACAACTGTCTTCGACAGCGAAGACTTTTGTTCAGAAAGGCTGTTCTGCTGTGCATTTTGAATGGGAGATGAAAGTCTGACGAATTTGATGATCGATGGTTACTGTGATTAATGTTACACTATCTCTTTCTCTGACTAGCAACCACTCTCTCTCTCCCTCTCTCTCTCTCTCTCTCTCTCTCTAAATCTGTCTCTCTCTCTCTAACTCTGTCTCCCTCTCTCTCTCTCTCTCTCTCTCTAAATCTCTCTCTCTCTCTTTTCATTCATTTCTCTCTCTCTCTCTCTCTTTCTCTCTCTCTCTCTCTCTCTCTCTAAATCTCTCTCTCTCTCTCTCTCTCTCTCTCTCTCTCTCTCTCTCTCTCTCTCTGAAATTTTTGCCTCGAACGGCACACACACAATAAAAAAACACAACATCAGATTCAGGGAACGCTCCGTCGTTCCTCCCCTTCCCCTTCCCCTTCTTCCCCCTTCCCTGCCCTTTCCTTCTCTTCTGCTCTTGCTCTTTCATTAGCGCTTTCGCAGGGCCTTGGAGGGTACGTGCTGTGGTGTGTGGTTGCGGCCGGCTGTTGTCACTGTGTGTCGCTGCACTGGCTACACTTGGTGGTCACTCATGTGAGAGGTCTCTCTCTTTCTCTCTCTCTCTCGCGCGCGCGCTCTGTGCGTGTGTGTGTGTTTGGTGCACGTAGACGCGGACGACGACGCGACGACGCTGGGGTATCTCGAGCCTGCTGCTGGGCGTGGAAGAGCTTTGTGGATTGACAGACACCGTTCATCATGACGGACAGCGTGGCCGAGGTGGTGCGCATGCTCAATGAGCCGCCATTTGAAAAAGCGTTTACGCTCATTGGGTACGCTGAGATGCGCCGTGATTCGCCCTCTGGCTGCGTGTGGCTTGTTGTCCTGCCGTACCGTCCGATGGATCTCTTGTGTTGGTGTCGTTCAACCCCTCTCTTACGTGCCGAGTCGCTCCCCGTGGGTACAGGTTTGATGCCATCACGCCCATTCAACTGCTGCAAGTCTTCAATGATGTTCTGGCCTCGATCGCCCCCGATGTACGCGCCTGTTGATCGCACCCCATGCCAATGTTCCTCTGCCCGTCCCCATGCCCATGCCGGCGCCGTTGTCGTTTGTCCTTCCCTGTCCCTCCCCTGTCTCTCGGGGTTGCACGTTTGATGCAAGTGCCTCGCGTCTTTTCGACTGGGTATGTCTCTGATCACCACCTTGTCCTTGCTGCGCAGCATGAGATGGACATTCGATCAGAGGATCCTGAACAAACCGTGGTCCGCTTCCTCTCCCTTTTGCGCGTCCTCAAATACAAACCTAACCTCGGACCAGCGTACGTTTCTGCCTTGCTGACTTTCTTTCTTTCTTTCTTTCTTCCCCATCACCTTGCCTGGTGCAATTTGAAGCCCGAAATGGAAAAGGGAGAAGATAAAAAAAAAAAAAAAAAAAAAAAAGAGGAAATGGCTTGCCCCCTCCTTAACCCCTTCGGCCCTTTCAAGAAAAAAAAAAAAAACACCCACCATTGTCCTGTCGCCTCTGCCTCACATCTTTCCTGTTTGACAGCGAGTTTCGACAGGGGCTGGTCGCAGCGAGTCGTGATGTCATTTACCCGGCCCTGCATTGGCTGCTACAGCGACGGGAAGAGCTTGCCAAGCGTGCCTACCTGGCACGGTACTTGATGCGCGTGGAGGTGCCGGCCGATATTCTCCAGGACGAGACGGTGGGCGAGACGAATCGCCGATATTTGGAGCTGATTGACATGTTCAAAACCACTCACCAGGAGTTGGAGGGCATGAAGTCCTCCAACCTGAGCATTGCCGAGATCAAAAATGATATCAAAGCCATGGAGACGGAGCAGGCACAGCTGACCACCCGCCTGAACCGCCTGCGCACCAAGACGGAAGGCGTGGACCGCCGGGATGAGCTGCTGGCGGCGGCGCGGGCGCTGCGACAGGAACATGAGCGACAGGAGCTGTTGGAACAACAACGCGAAGACCAGGTAGAGCAGCGCTCCGCCTTGGAGGACAAGCTGCATCGCGTGGCCGAGCAGTTGCGCCAGCTGCGGGCCACGGCAGTCACGGGCGGTAGCGAGGGTCTCTTGGCGCGGCTCGAAGAGGAGACACAGATGTATGCCTACCTGGCCACAGACAAGCTCCCAACGGCCTTGGCGGAGAAGGAAGAGCAGGTGGCAGCCAATCGCCGAATTGTGGACGGGCCGGCGCTGACGGGGTCGGACTTGGACGCTTTGCAGCGGGAGATTCAGGAACGAAGCCGAAACATCAACCGGATGATGGAGGCACGGTTGGCCAAGAGCGGGGAAGACGCCTCGGACCAGCTGACGGTGTTTCGCAAGCAGGCCGCAATCATCGCGAGCAAGAAGAGCAACATGAGCGAGAAGCTGCAGGATCTCCAGGACGAGCTGGCGCGACTACAGAAGGAGTACTCGGGGCGACGGGCGGCCCTGGGCACGTCAGGCCCTCGGGTGCCCGGGGCGGACGAGTTCAAGGCGTTTGTGGCCAAGCTGCGCAGCAAGAGCACGCAATACAAGGAGAAGCGGGCCCAGCTCAACGCCATGGAGGCAGAAGCCATGCTGTTGGAACGGACGGCGGCCATTTTGACGGCGCGCCTGGACGGGGTGCGCGCCGAGTTGACCGCGGTGGAAGCCGCGCAGGGAGTGTCGGGCGCGTTTGACGCCCAAGAGCGACTGGAACAGGTGTCGATGGCCAAGAGCGAAATTGACGAGCGCAAGGGAGAGGCGCTGGACGACATTAGCTCCATGGTGGACAAGCTCACGCAGACCATTGCCAACAAGCGGGAGGAGCTGGCGCCGCTGGTGGCGGAGCTGCGCAACCTGCGGGCGGACAAGGCAAAGTTGCAGGAGGAGTACGACACGAAAAAGGCCGATTACGACCGAGTGGCCGGCACCCTGGGGGCGACCAAGGCCAAGGAGGAGAAGATGGTGCGCGCATATCGCGAGGAGATTAACCAGGACGAGAGCCGATACCACTACCTGCACGCGATGATTCAACAGCTGCAGGCGCAGCAGCGGGCGGCCGCCGACGAAGAAGAACGATACATCAACAAGAAGGAGGGTGAATCGATGCGACAAATTTACAACAAGCGCATTCGCGAGCAGGACACGCTGAGCAAGCACCTTCGCGAGCGGCAAAAGGAGGTCGAGCAGAACCACGACAACAACCTCAAGCAGCTGGACATGTGGGCCGACTTGGACCGCATCTTCCAAGCCAAGCTCGACTCGTCCAGCGATGGCGCAACCGGTGGCGCCGGTGGCGCTGGAGCCCATGCCGACAGACTCGATGGCACGGAGAACCACCTCGTGCTCTAGCTGGCGGACCGGCTCTCTACGAGCGATTGGTTTTTTAAATGGCCCTCACGTCCCATTCCTCTCTGTTGCCATGGGGAGGTCGGTTGATGTGGAGCGGGTCGCTCTTATTTTCTCCACTCTGCCATCGCTCGCGCATCCGGTTCATCAGCTGATGGTCGGCCTGAGCATGGTACAATGTATGCCAATTGACATGTGAATCCAACGTCTACTTTGTGTGTGTTTTTTTTTTTTTTTTTAAGCCTTGAAGGTGCATCGATCAGAGCACAACGGGTTTTTGTGTGGCCATTGATGATCAGCAGGCATCTCGGACCGAGCGAGACTACCCATATACATGCGCAATGCCAGACACCAGACACCCGTCATCAAACGGAATACCAGGCGGCAACTCGATGATGTGCGTGCGCGCCCATAGGAAACGACGGACGACGGACTGGCAGCGCTACCTGTGCACAACCCCCGCTTCGGCGTGTGCTATAAATAGACGATCGGTCGCTTGACCGGACACACGTAGTTGATATCTACCACAACTCGATATTTGTCTTCACAAACTCTCTTTATGAACATTATTGTTCCGTCTATTTGTTAATATTTGGCCACAACAACCTTGTAGGACTCGTCTTATGGGAAAAAGAACTACGCAGGAGTAGATACAACGATAACCCAAGATCCTACTACAATAACATGTATGTGTACCACAGGATCCTATTATTTTACGACGTAAGCTATGAGTTGTTACCAATGCAAGATAAGCTTAATTAATATTTTATCTGCAATATCCTCTACCCCACATACTATAACATTATATCAAGGCTCAATAACAAGTAGATCGTGGTCGATATCTATCCGACTCTGGAACGATCACCAAGAGTTGCTCTCTCTCTCTGTGTCTCTCAAACTTCCGCAGACTCTCTCAAACTCTCTCAATCTCTCTCATTTTTCTTTACGATCATTGATACATTCTCTCTCTCTCCGTCTCTCTCTCTACGAGATCGACGCTCTCTCTCTCTCTCTGTGCCGTTTGCCTTTGATCGCGTGCTCATTTTTTCATTTTTCATCTCAAGGAGGATCAAGTGCCGGCGGGACGACAGAGCGACAGAACCGGTGAGTCCTTGGGCTTGTGTGCTCCCCGTTGGCCTGCGAGTTGTTGTTGTTGTTGTTGTGTGTGTGTGTGTGTGGTCGGCGGCTGCTTGATCGCTTGATGGGGCGGGGGGGAGGCAGATTGCCATCGGGATGGATCGAGTGTGTGTGTGTGTGTGTGTGTGTGATCCCGAAGCCACTCTCTGGAGGCTCATGCGAGCTGCTGTTGTCTCGTCCTGGTGTTGGTAGGTGGTCAAGATGCTGGGTCTGCAATCTTGGCATCATGCCCTTTTCCTGGCCGCCGTGCTGGTCTGCGGTACGTCCCAATCTGCGCGACATTTGGTCCGGGCCTTTGCGTAGCCTCTCACAAACTGATGTTGCCCGAACAGCGTCGCTGTCCGCTGTGACGGCCGATCCCATCACGGTGCGCACCACGTACATCGGCAGGTCCTGCGGTACCTTTGAGTACGCGTCCGCCTTCTATCCCATCTGCACTCGCACTCGCTTCAGCTACATCAACAACGATTCGCTCGTGGACGACGATGATGCCTACGTCCCAAACGTTGAAGATGATGACGACACCCCTGCCAAGAGCGACGACGACACCCCTGCCAAGGGCGACGATGACACCCCTGTCAAGAGCGACGATGATGATGGTCACAAGGCCAACGACGATGACAAGGCCCCAGCTCGCGATCGACGCGCCGACGATGATGCTGGCGATGATGACGACGGCGTCCCCGACGGCGTGCTTGTCCCCCATGGAGATTACAATTACGTTATTTCACAGCTTGTGTGTTCGGTACGCCCTGCCCGTGCATCCACCGGTACCCAAACTTTTTTTTTTTTTTTCTTTTTTTTTTTTTTTTTCGGGTCCTGGTGCCATGTGGGGCCTGGCCGCTTACTCAAAATGCCAAACCTGCTCTGTCACGCCCTCAGTCTTCAGCTGTCACGAACCAATACTACGCCGACTGGAACTGCGGTCGCACGGCCCCATTTGCCGCCGCTCTGGCCAAACCCAAAACGTGCCTCGTAGAGCATGACTCAGAGCATAGCGAATACTTTCAGTGCATCAACTCTCCTTCCGAGTATACCACCCCCGATCAAGCCCTCTGGATTGCCCACTCGGAAACCAACGGTGGCCCGACAATCATGGCTGAAACCCGGCCCTGGAACACCTGCCTCACCTTTGAATCCGTGCCCACCGCCTACCCCGCGGCGCGTGCCTACATCTTGAGTGCCACCGACGACCTCCAAACTGTACGGCTCCCTCCAACTGATTGTCTCACGCTTCAGGCCTTGTCTTGGTTCAAGCCCGGCCTTGTGTGGCATGCCATTCCCCCTTGCTGACGCCAGTACCATCTGATTTCGTCGGTTGTTGCTCATCTGCTTGTCCGCCCGTCACACGCATAGATCAAAGTCGCCATGTACGCCGCCACCAATTGCCTTGACTCCTCCAGTGTCGGCATTTGGACACAGCCCGTCAACACCTGCTTCAACGCCAAACAGCAAGGCTTCGAGTACGATTCGGCCTTGAAATACGTCTTCTTCTCCAACGAGCTGCCTTCCCAAGCAGGTACGCCCCCTCCCTTTTTTTTTTTTTTTTTTTTTTCGTACTGGTGACGCAACGACCGTTATTAGTCCTGCTCATCCTTCGCAATTGTCCAACACTCGTCCTGGTTCTGCGCCCCCGCCCTGATGCACACCTTAGGTGGCAAGGCCCAGCCACTCACAGGTGGCGAGGTGGCGGCCATTGTCGTCTGCTTGGTTGTCTTTGTTTGCATCGTCATTGGTGTTGTCGCTTATCAAAAACGCAAGAGCGCATCGTACAACTCCATTTAAACATGCCGGCCTTGATACCTCAACTGCCATACCCGTACAAAACAAAACTGTGTTTTTTTACTTTTCTTTTTGAGTTTGACCGCCAACAACAATATAACGTTTGGAATGTTGATGCCCTATCCAATCGATATACCTTTGCTATTTTGACTGATGAGTTGCTTTCACGTTGGAATTTTTCAAATACAGTCATGACCTCAGGGCTTGCACGGGGTCTAGCCGAAGAGCAAGGGCATTAACTTTCCAGCCCTTTCATTTTCTTGAAGTGATATGGAGCAACGAACACCACCTCTTTGGGTGCCAATTTAAATATGAGAAAAAAAAAAAAAAAAAAAAAAAAAAAAACTCAAAAATTTAGAATAAATTGGACTCTCCTAGCATGCAAGTGGTGCATGTAGGTGCTCGATCAATTCCTATCTTGATACGTCAGGTATACTCTCATCAAACCGCACTTTGGGGACGAGGACCGTAGCCCAGTCGTGCATCGAGCTCTTGGCTCATGTTGCGTTCCATCATCTACCACAATGTCGTGCGGTTTTGGAAACGAATTCGCAATCAGGCCAGGCAAGTTTGCGACAGGGCTGACTCGCTTCGCATGACAGGATGTGGTCAATCATGGACTTACGTCTTCAATGCCACCCACATCACGTCGGCGCACCCACATGTTCACTTGCCGCCACAACTGTGTGGCATGATGTGCCAAATCAATGGCCACGAGCCGCAAGCTATGAATGTCAAAAGCACCAAATCAAAGAATGGTGACAACCTCGAACAAATGCCATGGGCACAGGCTGAAACGGCCAATCGCGGTAGAAGGGGGTCGGATGGGACCTTCGTACCGAAAGTCGAGGAGCATGGACTTGGCACGAAGCCACTCCCACCATGAACGATCTGCTTGCAGCAGGCCCCTTTGGTTGGCGCGTTCAGAACGCGAGAGTTCGAGGCCCTGAACGGCCGTCTTCGCACGGGAAGACAAGGCACATCGGAGCGAGTTGATGAGTAATGAAAGCAGACCTATTGAGAAGCAAAGGCCAACTTGGGATTGAAACTATTCGAGACAGACCTGAGCAAAAATGTTGACGCGATTGACGACGGACCCAGCAGCCTTGTTATTGCCGCGCAGGCAATTCATGGTGCGGCCGAGAATCACCAGTTCGGAGGGAATCTTGTGAGTCTCCTTGAGCAATTCGCGCACCCGATTCTTAGCCTCCACCTGAAACTGCATCAGTTGCTATCAGGAGGCGTGATGCAGTCCATGACATCCATTTCATGGTTGGGAAACAATGGAGCATGAAAAACAGGGGGTCAGCGGCACATCAACCAGTAGACGATCAAGCCAAGAAAACGGGGAAAACAAAGATGAAAGAGAAAAAAAAAAAAAGCGACGAAGCGAACCTCTTTGGTCAGTTCCTCGGGACGAAGTCGACGGGCGCTCTTTTTGCCAAAAGGCCGGAACAGCTGAAGGCTGGCAAAGAGCTCCGAGTCGTGGATGCCCCAGTCAGTGCACACTTCTTTCAGGGCCTTGAAGTCGGTCAAGATCAGGCTCTGGATTTGGGACAAGTCATCGAGGTCAACTGGCAAAACGGGCGCAATGGTGCAGGGGTGCGGTGCGGACTACAGGCCCCACCTTCCAAAGCTTGCAGTATTGCAAGCGAAATTCTTCGCGTTGGCAAACGTAGAGACCATGGTCAATGATGACGACCTGTTTCAGAACCGGTGTGGTGAGATACCAAAGCGGTTGGTTGAGAGAGCGTTGAATGGTGTGGACATGAGGAAGAGTCGTGCCTCTGACCTGGTGCTGTGTTTTGGGGTTGCCTGGTTCTTGTCGAACAATAATGTTGCCAGGGTGGGGATCACCATGCACGCGGCCGCTGATAAAGAGCTGGTGAGCAAAAGCCCGCATGGTCGTGGTCATGACATCCTTGATGCTGAAACCTAATCCACGCGGGGCCGTGCCAGTGTCAGGAAAAAGGCAAGGCAGGGGCACCGGGCTGTGCGAGTTCAATGCAAGATGAGCTTGAGGTGGGAAAATTTTTATGGCGCGAAAAAGACCAACCTTTCGCTTGTAGTTCAGCGGTTTTGGATAGTTTGTCTCCGACAATCCATTCTTGGACCATGACGCGGGGCCGACTAAACTCGTCGTAGACTCGAGGCACATACACGTGTGGCACATGGCCTTCAAGGTCTTGCTGTGAAGCAGGGAACGTTGGAGCGCGATTTTGAGATTGAAGTTGCAAGGCAGGTGTTTAAATGGGCGATAGCGGGGGGGGGCTAGGGCATGGGGGGCTCAAAGCATCATGACACCTTGGCCTGCTTGGTAAAGTTGGCCTCGCTGCGAAAGTCGGCTTCCAAGGTGATGCTTTTGCAGAGGTCATGTGTGGTCCAGTAGAGGGGTAGATCAAAGGTCCACTCAAACGCTTTGACCATGATTCGGTAGCACCAGAGATCAAAGGGCATCTGGGAGGATCGAGTGAACCGTGCATATGTGTCAGGCAAACAAGGGCGGACGGGGTCGGGGGGCTGCAATTGAGTTTGCAGCCCATGGAGGGGCATGGCTACCTGGTAGCGGATGTTGGGCTTTTGGACCTTGACAGCCACCTCAGTCCCGTCGTGGAGTTTGGCGTGGTGGACTTGGGCAATCGAGGCCGAGGCCACGGGCTGGCGATCGAATTCGGCAAAGATTTCGTGCGGGGCCAGGCCATTGAAGTCTTCGCGAAAGACCTTGCACACCTCGTCGTAGTCGACATATGGAGCTTGATCCTAATGAAGATTGAGCAGGCAGCAAGGTTTTTGCCAAAGGATGAGAACAAGAGGAAGAAGAAGAGAAAGAGGAAGAAAAGGAGGAGGAAGAAGAAGAGAGTGGGGCAGGCGACGAGGGGGCCCCGACCTGGAGGGCTGCAAAGAGCTGGCCAAAGGCTGGCGGCATGATGTGGTTCATCAAAGAGACGGATTGGCCCAGCTTGATGTAGAGGCCAGCGTTGACGCAGCAAATGTTGTACCTACAAAGAGGATTTGGGCGTCAGCTTGCAGCACCCGAGGGACTCGGGAAAGCGGCGGGACGGGGCCGGAACGGGCATGTGGGACGAACCAGCGCTGGGCGACACGGGCGTGAATATCGTCGATCGCTTCTGGGTGACGATCGAGGTCAATCTTGTAGTCGTACACGGTGGCAATGGCAGCAAAGAGCTAAACGGGTGGATCGACAGCGAGAAGCAAAGAGTTGTGAGCCGGTCGCTCGGGAGCACGGGGCGGGGGAGGCACGGGGCGCGGTCAGCTCGGGTCGTACGGTGCGGACGTTGCGATTGAAGCGCTCATAGCAAAAGTGGGTGTCATATTGATGAGCAGCCAGCGCGGTGACGGCAAGGGTCGACTTGATCGGATTGCGCCGCAGCCAGCGCGTCAGGCTCGCCGCCATCCTCCCCGGTGCCTTGAAGCCCCCCGTCCCGAGCCAGCTCACACCACCACCGGCAGTCACCTCCTTGCGCTTCACCACTGCCACTGGCTTGAGGTGTTCACACGTCCAACACCAGCACCCCTCCACACACACGTGTGTGTGTGTGTGTGTGTGATGCGATGCCGTAGTCCTTTTTTTTTTTTGAGAGAGAGAGAGCGAGAGAGAAAAAAAAAATGAGAGAGAGAGAGAGAGAGAGAGAGAGAGAGAGAGAGAGAGAGAGAGAGAGAGAGAGAGAGAGAGAGAGAGAGAGAGAGAGAGAGAGAGAGCGATTTAGAGAGAGAGAGAGAGAGAGATTAGAGAGAGTAAGTAGAGAGAGCGATTTAGAGAGAGAGAGAGAGAGAGAGAGAGAGTAAGTAGAGAGATTTAGAGAGAGAGAGAGAGATTTCAGACTGAGAGATTTCGAGAGAGATTGGTAGAGGGCTCCAGTGAAAGTTGATGTGCTGTATTCATACAGCGGTTCTCTCCTCTCTCCTCTGTGCCTGCCTTGCCTTCCTTGCCTTGTTTCAAGCAACAGGGGTATGCGGGGCTGCCAGTCAGAGGTACATCCAAAAAGCGAGAGTGAACCAGGGGGAAGGGGCAGAAGGGAGCGAGCTGGCGGGGCGGGGGGTGCTCGTGTCGAGTGTAAGAGGGCTGTAATGAGCAGGAGCTTGAATGGCCCCGAAACGGTGGTGTAATCTTGAGAGGGGCAGCTCGTTTGGTGGGGCATTATCGTGAGAGACAAGGGCTAAGCAAGCTTGTTCCAGAGGTTGGATTCGGGTAGAAATATGCCTTGATACGCTTTTTGCTCTGACATATGGTCTGACAAACAGTGTATTACAACAAGTGTTTACAACGTAATTTTAGGCAGACGCGACAAAGCGTGAAATTTGTTTCGCTTTATAATAATCTGACAAAGCATCGTGGAGCCTTTGATCAGTCTCTGATGCAGGTCCAGCTCCGTCTAAACTCTCTGCCATCACCTTTCTTTCTCCACTGATCAAAATCACATTTCAAAGCCTCTCTCTGACCACTGACCGTTTTCATTCTCCCTCCTCTCCGTCACCGCCGTCACGCTCGTCGGCATTTTTGTTACATTTGCATTTGGCGGTCGCACCACTGACCCAACACGGCAGCGCGGACGCTCAGACCTCTCCTCTGACGCCTGTCCTGCTTGTCAACGGATTGGAGGATCCCGGCTACTTGTGCATCACTGGCCTGTCTCGTTGCCTGTCACCGTCTCGTTTCTGGTATTCGTTGTGCCATTTTGGCCCCAGCGTCCTTCATCGCTCGCCTGTTGGAACGGGTCACTCGAGCGTGTCAAGGCCGAGCAATGGTGGCCTGAGCGGCTGTGCCGTGATCTGCCGAGGTCCCAGCGCTCACCTGCGAGATAATATAGCACGGAAGCCAACAGCGTGCATTGCATACCCTTGCACCTGTGTGGCCCTCTTTGATCTGACCTGATAAGAGGTGCGTGCGGCTTTCGTTCTTCTACCCTCGCTCAAACTTGGGCATCAAACGCGCGCGCGCGCACACACACAAGCAGGCCCAAAAGCGATGCCTGTTGCTACCCTTTTTCCCTCTGCCTTTGGGCTTTGCTTGACATCATGGCGCGCGCTCTGGCCCACATCGCCTCTTTACGCTTGAACCCCTGGTACTCTTCTGACACATTTTCTTTCCTCTCTCACACCCGCTGCGATTCGCGTTGGCGCTGCAGACACCAACCAACGTTACCAGTATCATGAGCAAGGTTCAAGTTGCCGTCCGTGTGCGGCCCTTTAACAAGCGCGGTTGGTACCCCATTTGAAAAAAAAAAAAAAAAAATACACGCCTTTCAACTTACCCACCCCCGCTCAAATCTCGGCCTCGACCCACAGAGGAAAAGCTAAAGTGCAAGCTGGTCATGGCCATGCAAAACTCCTCAACCATCCTCTTTGGCAACGACAAGCTCCCTGAACTGCGGCAAAACAGAGCCGAAAAGGTGATTGCCCTTTCACTCGCCGCTCACCCTTTGTCGAGCCCATGTGTTACGTGTGCCAACGACCGGACCCCCACCCCCCACCCTCATGTATCTGCTTCATGCGCCGCGAGTAGACCTTTACCTTTGACCATTCCATCTGGTCTGTCAATCCCGACGATGAAAACTTTGTCGGTGCGTCTTTGCATCCGTGTGGAAGAAGCAGGACCAACCACACACAAGCCCCTTGGCGCCATCGTGATGCCCTGGCTACGGACCCATCATACACTTCCATATGCACACCCGCGCGCACACATGCCTGCCTTAACACAACCCGACCCTGGGCTTAAATCAAGAACATTCTCCAAGCGCCATCGCTCACCGTCGCTCACCGTCGCGTCTCCTCTAATTTAGGTCAAGAAGAGGTCTACGCCAAACTGGGGGTCAATGTTCTGAAGAGTGCTCTTGAGGGATTTAACGTGCGTGTGTCTTGTATCGACTCGCCCGCTTTTTTATTTTGATTGTTATTCCGAGTGGACAGGCTTCAGCACAACAGGTTGGGGTGTCAAAACATGCCCTTAATGATCCCCACCTCGCCTCGACAATGCTTGCAGGCATGCATTTTTGCTTACGGTCAGACGGGCTCGGGCAAGTCCTATACCATGATGGGCGGAGGAGATGAAGCCACCAAAGGATTGATCCCACGCCTCTGCCACAACCTCTTTGCCACCATCACCGAGGTTTGCTCTCGGCTTCCGGGCACCCGTGCCACCTACCATTGAAACAGCAATTCCCATCTTCACCCCGCCGTCGGCTACACGAATGTACAACGCAGAACGAAGATGACAACCTGACCTTTCGCGTCGAAGTGTCATACCTCGAAATCTACAATGAACGCGTTCGCGATTTACTCGGTGATGTCAAGGGCCAAAAATCTCTCCGTGTGCGCGAGCACCAGATCCTTGGACCCTATGTGGAGGGCCTGACCAAACTCGCTGTGCGAGATCATTCAACCATTTTGCGACTCATGGAGGTCCGTTGCAACCTGGCCATCTTCGAATTGGACCGATCGAGGCATGTGGCTCACGCTCGCGTCTGGCCCAACGGCAATAGGAGGGAAACCAGTCGCGCACGGTAGCAGCGACCAGCATGAATTCGGAATCCTCGCGCTCTCACGCCGTCTTTAGCATTGTGGGTCGGCGCCAGGCCTGCTGCCAACCTTTGTGCACTTTTCAAAGGCATCGTTCGACCGCTCACTCGTGACGCCTCGATAGACGGTGACCCAAGAACATTATGATCCAGTGTCCGAGCACACTGGCCAAAAAGTTTCCAAGATCTCCCTGGTTGATCTGGCCGGCAGCGAGCGCGCCAGTGCGTGGACACGGGTCACCCATGCCACGCCAGTGGCACTCCAACTTTAGCTCATGCCTGCCCTCGATGTGTTTCTGCGTCCCGTCTGACAGATAAGACGGGGGCCACGGATGCCCGCCTGAAGGAGGGAAGCAACATCAACAAATCTCTGACCACCCTTGGTCTGTGCTCCTCGCCTCACGCCCAGAAGCAATTTTACCGATTCCTGCTGTAATAGCTTGCTCATTGTCGCCGGCACGCTCCTGCAGGTATCGTCATCTCAGCTCTTGCAGATGCCTCAAGCAAGCGGTCCAAGGAAAACGCATTCATACCCTATCGAGATTCAACCCTGACCTGGCTCCTCAAGGACAATCTGGGTGGCAACAGCAAAACCGTCATGGTGGCAACCGTCAGCCCGGCCTCAGACAACTATGATGAAACCCTCTCGACGCTCCGGTGAGTCGTCGCACCGCACCGCAGCTCAGGCTTGCCCTCGTCGATCATATGTTCACTTTGCTTGTTTCGTCGCGTTTGCGCCCTCCTCAACCCAACAGATATGCTGATCGCGCCAAACGCATTGTCAACAACGCCGTGGTCAACGAAGACCCTTCCGCCAAAATCATTCGACAGTTGCGGGAGGAAGTGGAGACACTTCGTGCCCAGCTTGGGGGTGGTGCGTCGTGCGCCTACACTGGTCTTTTTGTCGTTGTTTTCAGCAGTCACGCAGTCACTCATCACTCAAATTTGCCTCCTCGCACCATAGGGGCTGGCAATTTGACTGACAAGGAGCTTCTCTCCCGACTCAAGGAGAACGAGAGCCTCATGGCTGAAATGGAGCTTTCCTGGGAACAAAAGCTCAAGGTGCGCCAAACCCGGAGATAGCGTGCTCTCAATGCGTAACACAGCTCAGTTGACCTCGTGTCCAACAGATGGCAGAGGAGACGATGGAGCAGCGCCAACGTGAGCTTGAGGAGATGGGTATCTCCATTAATCAGGCAGGCGTAGCTATTGACCGGGACAAGTTTTACCTTGTCAACCTGAACGAGGACCCTGCCATGTCTGACATGCTGGTCTACTACCTCAAGGTTGGTTATCGGCGTTTCTCTTGTTTCTTTTCTCTTACCACCACGCAGGCACACCCCCTTTTGTTCGCCAAGGGACAGGGAAGAGTCACGCCAGGTCAAGTCTCACTTTTTTTTTTTTTTTTTTTTTGTAGAAGGACAAAACCACCGTGGGCAGCGCTGATGGCCAGGACATTGTTTTGCAAGGCATTGGCTTGCGACCACAGCACGCCATCCTCACTATTCATGATGGCATGGTGCGTTTGTTGGCCCGCAGCTCTGTTGTCTTTATATTTGATTTTTTGTTTCCCTGCTCACCGTACTTTGGTTTGCTATACCCAGCTGTTAGTTACACCCTTGGACAATGCACCTGTTATCGTCAACGGAATTGAGGTGACGACCGAAACCCGCCTCAAGTCAGTCGAGAAAGCCTGCCTCGCCTTTCGCCAACATCATGTTTTTTTGCTTCTCTTTAAGATTCGAGTTTCATGTTGTTCAACTCTGGCTCATTCAAATCACTGTATGAATCCCATGCGCCCGTGCTTTGCCCCGCTTGTCCAGGCATGCGGCCCGCTTGCTGTTTGGTAGCAAGCAGCTGTTTCGCGTGGCTTGCCCGC